AAATACTTTCATATTTATTATCTCCTCACCTTCGACACAAGAGAATTTGGATGAAAGAAAATGAGAAAAGCTAGTGATGAAATGAAAACCAGCATCTGCCCTAGGAAATCATCAAAACGAATAAATTGGGCACCAGGTGTACACATTTAAATGTCCCCAGCTCAAAAGAGCAGCATATAGATGTACAAATAACGTAGGTATGAGCTTTTGTTAAAAATGATATTAGATATATTAATCACTATTATTATTTGGTAATAATAGTAGTAATAATAATAATCGTAATATAATAGTATATATATATATATATTATAATAATAATAATAATAATAATATAATAATCATCATTGTCATAATAATAATCTGTAAAAGTATTACTTTTTATTGTAGAGATCAGTTCAAAATGATTTCTTTTTTCACCACAAAATGAGATTCACTATAAGCGCACATATATAAAATAATAATAATAATAACAAATAATAGGCATATCAAGATCTTGACAAAAACTAAGTTTATTTCACAGGCGTAACAACAACCTGAGAAACTTAGGAAACAGAATGAAAGAATGAGAATACCTTCCTTCCATTACCACCGAGGAGATACCAATTCTGATTTAAAAAGAAAATAAATAAGTAAATAAAAAAACATATCAAATGATGATTAAACAGTCAAATAATAATTTGTCAAATGATACAGGTATTATTGTATTTAAAATTGCATTCAATGACGTTAGCGATTCGTTATTTAGATTTTTGGGTATCATAATATATAAATATACTTATGCATATAATATACATACATATTTATATATATATATATATAGAGTCCTTATTTAATTTAGTAATTGCTAGAAATTTAAATCACAAAACAAAGTAAGGATATAGCTTCGGCACATATCATTTTTCGTTTTACATTAATATTTCTCGAAATATGTAGAATATAAATTAGCTATATATATATATAGCTAGTTTATATTTAAATGTAGCACATTTTTGGCAATTTCGATATAATGATGAAAAATTTGAACAATAAAAGAAAAAATGCCAAAATTTTTTAACGACACTTAATGTGCACTGTAATCATTTATAAATATTAGAAAAGCAAAGCAAAAATCAAACAAACAAATGCTCGAGTAAACTGCAATCCAAGCTGAGGTGAGTAAATATAAATAAATATCTATCAATTTTTGTGCAGAAATACAATATTATCATTGAGTGATCTTTCCCGAAGGAGAGTTTAATGTCGAACGAGTGCATACAAATTAATTTTAAAAAAGAAAATCGATTTAAAATACTTGCATCTATCGAGTGTAAAGTGGAGCAATAAAATATTAATAGGCTTATAGAAATGAAATGAAGTGAAGAGAAGATAAAGAAAGAGAGAGAAGGAGAGAGAGAAATAGAGGAGAGAAAAAAAAGATCTTTTGCATTGTTGCATAAAAACATTTTACTTTGCATTAAAAGAAAATATAGCATATAATTGTGTGTATAAATAATACATACATACATACATATATATCTATATATATGTATATATATATGTATCGCTTTATACACACGATATCTGCAGACTAGCATGTAAAAATTATTAGCTAGGGGACTATAATTATGATCTTAATTTTGACTAAATGGAATTATTATGATATCATTTTTTTTACTAATAAAAAAAATTAATTAATTAATTACTTAAAAAAATATTGCATAAAAGAAAAGAAGAAGAATCTTATAAATCATTACGATTTCCAAGAGAAATACGAGAGAGTAGGGAAGGAAACATCGATAAAAAGTTGATCAATGTATTGTTTATTAAAACATTGACAACATATATGAGACACTTAAAAAATGAACTAATTGTAAGTGAATAACACAATGATTCTTCAAATAACGATTAAGAAAGCGCAATATAATGTTCTGTTAAAGTGATAAGAAAATTCTTCATTCTTTCTAGATATATTATATGATCATGCATATACATATACATATATATATATATAAATATAAATATATAAATATTATTTTCATTGTTTTATAAATTTTTTATTTTTCTAATTTCATTATTATTAATTCTTTAGGTTGATAGCAGCTATGCTAAGTACAACATTGGTGGACCTGAGTGCAACAATCGTGTCAACTGCCACATGACTGGCATCAACGTCAATGACCTTATCTACATAAGGTTTCTGGAGATGGTAAGTTTTATTTAAAAAAAAAAGGGACTCTTCCTATAGGAAGGTATTAATATATATAATATATCTAATTTTTTTTGTTAAATATAAAAAGAACTATATTTTTATGAAACAAACGGTGTGTCATTCATTTTATAATTTATTTTTAAGACTATGTTAAAAAATAATACAAAAATTATAATTCACAGTTATTTTTTTTCTATATATTTTTATATAGAAAGGTGTTTAATAAAAAATATATAACATATAATAATAGAGTGGGGAATATAAAATATATAAATATTTTTTTTTTTACTTAACACCTTTCGATTCTTGCTAGCAAAAATGAAGAGGAACATTCTTGGAATTCACAAAGGATGGATTTAATGATGAAAATTTGACAATAAGATACGCGTTGAAAATTCGTGAAATTTATTAAGTGCTCGGTAAGCATGGAGAAAGGCTGAATTAAATAACTAGTAGTGTTAAACTTAACGTTCCGTCTCGTCAAACGTAAATTGTTCCAGATAAAGAGTGTATCTTCTTATCTTGTATTTCTTCCTACACAGTCAGTTGACGCGTGAGAAACTTCATTACGTGGTTAAACACGTGAAACCTATGATGATATATCAAGTACGTCATTAACGAAACATTTTTGTTGATAATGAGTCATTCATTTTGTCTCATAAAAAGTCTAACAGTTCCTATCTTAGATCGAATCAATTTCGAATATATCCTTAAAATTAATATATATGTGTATTATTGTTTCGCATTTGACTTCGGCTCAGGGGATTGCAATTTTGCATCTTCGATAAATATGTGGATACGAGGTTTTAATATACATTCCTTTGATAATAACAAATTTATTTCCAAGGGCAACGATGGTGGATATTAAGATTTTTAGGATGCGTTAATTGTGTCTACTCATTGACGAATCCACCCTCGTAAGTTCTTGAAAGAAAGTGTTAGTATTTTAGGGTAGAGTAAACATAGATAACATTTTATATAAACAATAAGTTAATGCGACGTTCTCACGAGATGTCACCATGGAGCACTAAATACCTTTTATGGGAGAATTTTAAGCGGTCTTTTATTTCGGAAAATTCGTCAGAAGCATCCAAGAGCTTGTATCGCGAGTATCGAATAATAATTCGGTCTGACATAAGTTCGTTCAGTTTTATTTTTTCGCACATTTTGTTTTGTATAAATATTTGTTAATTATTGCAATGAAATAAAATACTTACACCCTTAAAATAAAAAGAAATTTTATGGAAATAATAATCTCAAACAGGGGGGCTCTTATTTCGAAGAAGATGACTTTCCTGGTAAGAAATTTTGTATAAGTAAATATGCCCGCAAAATTTAGTATTTGAAAATTTGATATTATTAACTTTCCATAATGTTTAATATTTTAATTCGATTAATATAATCATTATAGAATACTATAACCAACATATTAGTATTTTATCGTCGAATTTAATATTTACAAAGAAGTCTTTAATGAAAGGTAATGAGTAATTTAATTGAGTTCACAATTCGTACGTAAGAGACTTGTCATTGTGCAATAATGTATAGAAGATAATTAATCAATGTTTTACAGTTGTTTAAACATAAGTTATCATTGGTCAACATAAAAATTAATTTTTATACAAATATACTAAATGGTAATATAATATTGTTAAACGCAATAATATGATAATACATATATATTATAAATATATATTATTTATTATATATTTTTATATTATATATATATATATATATACTATAGAGTTAATAGGTATATTAATATTTATCAAATTTTCTACCTAAACTATACGTGACACCACAAGAAAATAATTGAACTCTCTTTGTTCGTGATCTCTCGTATCATTTATTATATAATTAATGCAATTCAGCTGTGCTTATACATGTTCCAGGAAAGGTCCTACAATATGAAACTTTATCATGAACTGTATATTATCATTATCATTGACGAAGATTCAATTTTTATTCGGCCTCAAGGAGCAAAATATTACTTTTATTATTAGTTTATTACTGTTGTGCTTTCTCATCTCTTTATATAATTATCTTTTTATAATTACTATCATCGGATATTAATAAAAATCTAACGTTTAATTAATACGATCCATTTATTGCTCTTTAGAAAAAAATCTTAACGTAAACAGAGAAAATATTTAAAAAATCATTAATCCGATTGCAGGATCTTTTGATCATGATCGATGATCTTACGTGATTACGATCATGGTTAATGTAAGTTGGATTTATCAATATTTTTTGTTTAACTTTTATTATTATTTTCTTTATTCGGTTATATGAAATCTGAGAAGAGCTGTTATGGTATAAATGTAACCGGAGATCTACATACAACGAAGATTATATATACATCACAATCGACTTCTGGTTATTACAGGTGTGGAAATAGATTGCTATAACTCTGTTCAAGTATCGTGCTATGGAAATTTGATTCTTCTGTGTATGATCTTCCTTACGGATCCAATTAAAATAAACAACAAATTTATATACACTTTTTATACAAAATTTATATACAAACAATCATCTTGTACTAAATTCACTTTGGTTAATGGTATTTAAAAATACATTTCATTTGTAATTTATTAAATAACGTTGACAATTTTTATATTTTTTTATGTTAATAAACAAGAATAATACTTTAAATATATTTAATTGTAAAATTGAAAAGAAATAGGTACCAATGCGCAAGTTGTATTGAAATTATTAATAAAATTTATTAGTTGTACTAAAATATAAACTAACATTCCTTTGTCTTATAATAGTTCAATAATTTGAAAAAAAATGTTAAAAAAAGATAAAGGGATTTCAATAAGGTACACGCAACCTGTTCTGAAACTCATCCATAATAATGTGGAAGAAGAATTGAAGACTCTAAGTCGTCGATGATAAATGCGTTCGAACGTTCGTTGAGATCATAGTCAGTTGCTTCGAGTTGTTCGAAGTAGTCGGATCGTTTATCGTTTTCGTTACGTGCCGTTCTTCCAATAATTTCAAAGCATCCAAATAGAAACGTGTCTACTTACTTGCTTAATTATCTCATTTTCTGTTTTTTCTTCTCTCTCTCTTCCTTTTTTAAAAATTATTTTTTTTCGCTTTCAACATATTTTTTTTTTTTATTTAGTTTATTTTTGGCAATGTGTATTAGCAGTGGTATTAGGTGGACACGTGAATTTGACAAAAGGTAGCGATAACGTGTATTTTTATTATTATTTTATCATTTTATTGTTTGAAAATGACGTCGTCTAATTTAAATGAAATATTATTAAGTTAACAATTTTTTATTCGTTAGCCAGGAAAGTTCGTGCCAATTTTGAGAAAAGTCTGTGTATATATTAAAAAGTATAAGTCGAATATATATTTAACAATTGGCACAAACTTTCTAAATATTTTTAATATTTTTTTTTTCTTAACTTATCTTATAGTATTATTTTATTAACATAGCATTATATATTAACATATATAATATAAGATTTGAATAACGATGCGAATAGATCGAACATAAATCTTTAGATATTGAATAATTTCCTTTTCTTTTTTAAACTCACTTATTTTAATGCTGTTGATTCTTTTACGATTTCTTTATGGATAATTTTTGTTTACTTACTTTTTATTAAATGATCATTACATTACACGTTACCGATTCGGTCATAGTCGATGTAAAATCGGGCTTGGGTTAGTGAGTTCAAACAATAAATAAAAAAAAAGATAAGGAAAAAGACGAAGAGCCGAGAAACAAAAGAGGGGAGAACGAAGGGAGAAAAACTTGTGTATGGTGATTTCCTCTAGCTCTTCTCAAGTGTATACGCGTATATAAGTATTATAAAGTTCGTCTCTTTGGTCTTCGTTGGCATCGGTCTCCCCTCTTCTTCAGAACAGGAGGAAAAAACCCACCTAACAGGTTTTAAAGAGGGGCAGGATCGGTGTATCGGACATTTAACGTTTCAGTGTATGGCGTAGATCTTTGGATAGAATTTCCTATGTCACCTCAATTTCACTTCCTTTTATTTTTCGAGAAAAAGGATTCATGTTTGTTAATATTATTATTTTTGTTTATTATCTATTTGAAATTACTTAATGTTTCGGTGCATTGTAGATCTTCCGATAAGATTTCCGATATTACCTGAATTATTGTATTCTTTCTATCATGAAATTCTTGAAAAGTAAATACAAGAAAAATGAAGCAATCCTTTGTACTTTGAATACGTATTTTAATTGACGTAAATATATGTTTTAAATTATTATTATACTACAACGAGAGTCTCTCTCAGATCGTAATAATAATCTGCAGAAAACGTCGAACAAAAGCATTGTTCTTTCTTCCTCGCGTGATTAACGTTTCATCCTTAAAAGTGCACGTAAATCATGCTAATACATCTGTCGACCTTAAATGTAAAAATACATGCATACGTAAGAGAAGTTTTTGATCCTATTATGAAATAATTGAAAACGTTTTTCAATTAAAAATTTTGATAATTTCTATATGAAATAATTAAACAAGAAATATACTCAAATATACTTCAACCCCTTCCTTTTTGTATGTCATTAGTAAAAGTTCTTCTAAAATTATAAAATAAAATAAATACAAAATGTTTATTCGATCAAATTGAAATGTATCAATTTATTTCATCAAGAATAATTTAATTTTCTATTTTCGAATGGTACTTCATATGCATTGTGTTCAAATCATTTCAGTCAACCAACACGTCCAATATATCTTTTTTCAGATGATCAAAGTACTCTGATCTGATAACAAGATTCTATTTCTACGAAACACGAAAGAGATGAAACAAATTAATTTTATTATGATTCCGATGATCAGTGAATTTTAAAGCAGAAAATAAGACAGAAATATAAAAAACACGAAGAACAAAAATTAATGATTAATGCAACTATCAGCAAAATGCAGTGACGAGAATCAATATTTGTGATTTCTTCGATTTAATCTAGTAATATTATAATCCCTAGTGATTGGTGAATATACACTATAGAATATAAAAAATAGATCAACCTAGTGATCTGTAAATAATTAGTAAAATTCCAAAAATGGCTACCATCTTATCCGACGAGGATGGGAACGCAATGAAATTAAAACAAAAACTCTTAAATCGTTCCAATAATAATAAGGAAGAAACACGTTCCTTTTTAAATTTTTCCCGAGAAAATTTGAATATATCACAAGTTGATTTGGAACAAGTATTCACCAAAAGGCGTTGCAGACCTAAAAGACACACAGTCTTAAGTACTGCTGCGTTATTAATAGCTCTTTTATGTTTCGGCCTGGAAACATGGAAATTGCGTTGCTCTTTGGTGAATTCTCGTGAGATCGAAGAATTGAAGAAAGATGTTAAAAGTTTGAAACATAGATTTTTACAGCAAGATCTTTTGGACGAACTTAAGGCGTTCGAAGAACAAGTAAGAAACTTATATCTATTATTATTTCAATGAAATTTTTAACGAATAAAACAAATTAACATAACTTACATAATCACGTGTGACTAATAGAAATTTGAGGTTTCGAATTATATGCGTTAGATAGGTTTATAAACTTTCCATAAACTTTCAAGCAATATCTGTTTTCTTATCAACGATTCTTTGCGTTGCTTTATTTATCGAGTAGTTAAAGATAAAAGATTAGACATTTTTGTTAAATAGAAAATTACGATAGATTTCTATTTAATGTCTAAAAAGAATAAAAAAGATATTATTTTTTTAATCGATCTAACTTATTGTTAGATGTTAGATACATTTTTATCTCCTTATTTTCTTATTGAAATAATGAAATATAAAATAAAATCAAGTTTATCGTCCAATTCTAAAGTGGCAAACAGATAAGTTTGCATTTGTATACATTCGCATGTAGAGTTCAATGATCAATGAACTCAGATTTCTGCGTAATTGAAATTGATCAACGTAATTTTAGAATTTATTCTTATGTGAGTCATATTTATACGTTAACTTTTATTATATTTTGAGTGTTACCTATTTATAGAGAATGTTCCAAAAATTATTTTATAAGAAAAAATATAAAAAATTATAATATTTTATATTTTATTTCAAGATATTAATTTTACATTTTTCGATTTGGTAAAGTTATTTTTAGGAGACCCTGTATATTTATTACTATTACATCGAAAAATAAAACATTTCAATTCTAACACGATGCTTCTCGGCATCGGGAATATTACATATTCGTGTGATTGTTTAAAAAAAGATTATAATAGTTAAGATATTAGATTTGTTCGGAATAAGAAACTTAATGATCATAGGTTTTTAACATAATATTCAACAATATCATTATTACATATTTCTATAAAGTACACACGGTATATGTCTATAAATATATTCAACTGAGTACTGTAACACAAGTTGATTGATATTATTATCACAATTGAATAATTCATATGAAGAACTTGTAAATTGCTTCTGATTTGTCATAGAATTAACATTTATTTATCAACAGAGTACATTGTTGATATTAATAAAAAAAATGATTTACCAAAAATCGAAATACTACTTCGGGATATATTGAAAAATGTTTACACAACTTATATGAACCTTAAATTCTCTACACGCACATGTGTATGCAATTTGTACATATTCTGTTTCTTTAAATATTAGCACAAATAAGGAATTCATTCTTTATTTTTAACTAAAGTTAAATATTTATACAGTAGGAATGTATTTCCTTATTCCAACTATGCAAATACTTAAATATCCCATTATATATACTAATTGTTATCACAAAATAAATAGTAGATATCATCATTATTAACAGCAATATTGTTATTTGATAATTCTTCTCATGTTAACTCCGATAATACGAGTAATTTTGATCATTCTTACAGCTTTATGCCGGAGAGTCTACTGACGAGGAAGATCCCGGAGAAGTAGACATTGATAACACCGAATACGATTCAAATTACGATGACGATTCCTCGTCTTCATCTTCATCCTCTTCCTCTTCGTCCTCCTCTTCCTCGTCTTCGCACGATTATTCCAATGATTATCATACCTCATCCGTAATTTCAAAGAACTCGGATTTTCCTAAAACAACTACTTCGACATTAACAAAAATAACAACAAAAACACCAATACAATCAACAACAACATCTAGATCAACTTCTAATAACTTGGAAACAACTTCTACATCAGATCCTGTTTCGGATAAAGCTATGGTTGAATTACTTGCTGCTTTAAGAAAAGCTGAGGCTAAGCAAGGTGAAAAATTTGAAAAAAATGTTCGACATATTCATCGAAATCTTGAACGGGAACGTTTAGAAAACGTCGATGTTCTTGCTGACGATGACGAAGACAACGACGAGGATGACGAAGACGTCGACGACGACGATGACGACGACGACAACGACGACGACGAAAACGACGAGACAAATGACAATTCTGACGTTGTTAATTTGGATCCTATTAAAAGAAAAAGATCGATTACAGAGGAAAATATTTCGGATGATGTCATTTTGAATAGGACTTCTCGACAAAGAAATCATATGAAAAAATTTGCTTCCCCGAGACATCGTTTTCATAACAACGAAGAATCTGGAAGAATTGCGCACAATGATCGTGATCAAATTAGGTATATCACGATTTTATTTTTTCTCGATATTGTTTTTATATTTCTTATTTATAATTAAAGACGTTAGAAAATCATATCCGTTGTTGTTTCTTTTATTTTCATTATTATTATATGTAATAATATACGTTTATCCAATTTATATTTTCAGATCGATCACTTCCTTGGAAAGACATCCTCCAAAGAAGTTTAACTCCCACTCGCATCCGTCTGAAACGTCTCGGGCATTTCCTTCGAGCCGTTACGATGACGATAATTTAAGCGACGAAATTGCTCGATCAACTCTGCAACTTGATGAAAGAGGAAAGGATTACGCAGACCGAACCAAATGGAGATCATCCCATGACAATATGGTAAAAACACAAACAATATTTTTCACTTCTCATTGACAATATTCAATTGTTAATTATACAATCAGATTTTTCTTATTATTTATAGGGAAGCTTAAACGTTTCCGGAGGATTACGTCGAGTAGTTAATAGACGTCACTTGAGAACACCTCGTCAGATTTTTGCAGTACATTACGGCGCAGATAGTACACTTTTCTCTCAAGACGATGAACATACTGGCAATGGTCGAGGTCGTCACGGGAATGGTGTCTTCAAAGCTTGGAGACCAAGTGATTGGGTTTCGGATTTAGGCATGAGTAAATATTTTACTTTAGCTAATGATGGTAAACTTACTGTTCACGAGCCTGGATTATATTTGATTTATGCACAAATTCATTATCTCGATGAGCACGATGAAAATGGTTTCAAATTACTGGTAAACAGTAGACCATTATTTCAATGCACGGTAAGAATTATACCAACGAACAAATTCATTGATTATCTAATTTTTTAATTTGTTAGATTTTTTTATTCTTGTTTAGATTTTCAGTCCAACCAGTGGCCACAAAAGTCGATCTTGTTTTTCGGCTCAAATAACTTTTCTTCAAGCTGGAGATGTATTGGTTCTTAAAGACGTTGCTGGTGATAGATATACACTTTTCCAATACGATAAGAGTTTCTTCGGTTTGGTAAAATTAGGAGAATCCAGACAGCAAAGGCACCCCTCGTCTACGCAATTACCATTATAGTGATTGGTTCGTCTTATCATAGTATATTAGCATAATATTTAGATGAATACAAATCAACAGAAAAAAAGGTAATGTACATATAGATATAATATTTTATTGTTTTTTTTCTATCCTTTTTTTAAATAATAGATCGTTGCTACGTTGATTTTCATTATATTTTCTCGTCCTTTTTTAACGCTTTACTTTTACATATACACGTATTTTATAATATTTCGAGAGTGTTTGAATAAAATACGTTTGATGTTATTTTAAATAATAATTACCACGTCGTTATTATATCATAGAGCTTTAATTAAATAGCCATGCGATAATTAAACCAAACGCAATGTGTGTGATGCATAGGAATGTAAATAATATTTTATATTTTGTTATTAAAATAAATAGAACGAAATTGTAATACATTTAGTGGATAACTAAAATTAGTAACAAATTACAAATATAATACTATTAAAATATGAATCTCATTATCAAGACGTACACGTCAAATCGCAAACAATTTCTTTACTTTTATATGCTCTAGCTAATTCGCTATCAATTGGTATAAATCTACCAGGTTTTTCTATCAAATCTACTATAAAATTAGGTTTCATTAACTTCGTTGGGAAAATTGATTGTCGTAATTTCCATGGTACAACCATATTATTTGCATTATGAATCTCTGAAAATATTTGTTTCGACAACGATCGAGTTTCTTCGGACAATGAGATACGTCTTACGATCCAATCGGTACACGGTTCTTCGCTCATTAAATATTCGGTCAAACAAGTGTCTTCGTTGGGTACCTCAATCTAGAAAAATTAATAAAAATAAAAATAAAAATAAAATAAAATAAAATCAATAAAAATCTGAATATACTTGTGGTATAGCAATCTCAACCCAAGCCGTTCCGTATTCCCCTCGTACCAAAGCAGTTGGAAGACATATTCTATCAGCTAATACTTTAAAAAGTATTGCTCTTTCTAGATAAGAACCGACACGCAACTGTCCGAGAGGAATCACACTCGTTCTTATAAATTTTTTGATCTCTCTCAAGTGGACTTCTAATTGATGATCCACGCACGTGCTTGTTGGGTCAGGTCCTGACATTTGACGTGCAACGAACTCTGCCAACATTTTTGCACGCGAAGCGATCGCACAAATGTTTACCAAATTGGGTTCCTCATTGATTATTCTATTACATGTAAATAAACAAAAATAGGATCCTATTACAAAAATAATTATAAGCACTTTTATAGCCACCGATAGAGACCACAGTAATATTTCACAGTTATACTCACGAATCTTTTGATTCCATTGCCACCAATTTGCATTTTAAAAGTTCGATGTAATCACAAAGATGTGGATCTAATTGCAATCGACCGAACATTAATTCCAACCAACTATTTATAGCTTCGGCCGAAAGAAATACTCCTTTCGAAGCAATACCATTTTTAATAGAATTTCTAGCTTCTATAAATCAATATTAGAGATAACATTTGTCTAAGAAATTGTGTGTGTTCTTATAAATAATATATTATACCATCTATGTCTCTTTCGTCTATCACATTATTTGAAAAAATAGATTGTGCGGTGTTTATTACGTAAACGGGTTCCAAGGGACAAAATTTGAAACGAAATATATCATTTAGTACGGGAAATCTAAGAAAAATATTTACATAAGATCAAAAATAAATATCTTTTATTTATTTTTTTTTTTTTTTAATCAATGTGCAGTAACACGATCGTAAACATACGGACAAATGTTTTGTCGTAAAACATAAAAACCATCTTGAGTGATATCGTGTAACGAAAGTCGACCGGTGAATGCAAATTTGGCTGGTAAATGAGAATTAAAAAGGGTTTCTATGCAGGTATCCCATGAAGGTATAATTCTTGTGGATGCACGATTATTTAACATGCTAAATGATTATTATTTGTACTATACAATTTAATTTTATAATATATTTTAAACGTGATTAACTTACTATGACAAATATTTAGTTTGTACGAAAACATTTGCCAAAACTGGATCGACGCATAACAATTGAACCAATTGAACTGCAGCATTTCTTATCGGGATAGAATGTACATCTGATAGTAAATGATGTAATCTAGATGGACCGTGAATTTTAAGAAATGCATCCCTTCCAATTTTATCAATACAAAACATTGAAAGGGCTTGACAACAAAGTATTTTGTATTCGTCCATGGTTGGACAATCTATCTAATAAATTTAAAAAAGAACGATAATTTATTTAAAAAAATATATATATTAATTTAATATTTATTAATAATATAATTTAAATATTTAGGATGATAAAAATAAACGTGCCTCGAATGGTGTACACAAAGCATCTATGGTGTCGATTTTAATTACTGAATTTCTCAATGTTGAATGACGTGCTATAGCAATTAATGCTTGAACAGCTATCAATTGGGTTTCTAATAGTATTTTTTCATATGGTTGTTTGATTAACCATATTAAATATTGCTAGAAATAACAAAATTATCATTCTTACTTTTAATTAATTTTTAAAGAGATATTTTTCTTTATTTTCTGTATCATTCTTATATACTTCGCCATGAAGTTTCAAGAAATTTGTACAATTTTCGACATTGTAATTGAATAATTCATTAAGTGCAAACATTGCTGCATTCCTCACATCCCATTTTAAATTATCGTTCTTTAATATACCTAATTAAAGATGTAAATAAATTTCATGATAAAAATCTTAAATATTAATTACGAAAAGCATACCTAGAATGTTTTCGATAACATTTTCGGTAGATAATTTTTCAGCAGCGGGACTGTATAAAACTATTTTACCAATTCCATAACAAATGGTATAATACATATCAGGTTGTACAGTTTCTTGTAACGTATTAATCAGATGATCAATAATTCCATACATATACAATGACTTTAATAAAATGAAAAAATTAAATGAATATCTCTTAATAGACAATAAATCTACGAAAATAAAGAACCTTTCTGCCAACAGGAATATCAGCAAGATGAATAATAACATCAAAAGCATCCGCAAACAATTTTGAATTTAGTGTATTTTCCATATACTTATAAATCCTTTGAATACCACCAATACTATCCAATAATTCGACCGTCTTATGATTATCCGAGGCCAGGCTGAGTAGCTTCAATACTTCGGAGTGTAAGTCATGCCAATCGTCATTCTAGACGAATTACGTGACACTACTAACAGCTATAAGATTGTTCTACAGAAATTTCTTACATCCAAAAAATTTAATAATGCTTCTAAACCCTTAGTTTCTCGAAAAATATTCTGCATATACTCATCCTTGTTCCTTGTCAATAGATCACCTATTACGTTCAAGGCTAATCGTTGAATCTCTGGATAAGGTTCTTCCAAAAGTCGATAAATCAAAGGAAAATTAAAATCCTAAATACGCGAATATTTATTTTATAATAATATATTATTATTTAAAAATGTTTCAATATTGCAATAATATATATTTTTTTCATTACTTGAGCGTTTATAATCTCTTGCGCGCCTATTGGATCTTGTATCAGATTGTATATTATTTCTATATTATTTTTTTTAACATCAGGATCTGTTGATTGAATTCTTTCGTAAAGAAAATTTATATTCGGACATTGTTCTAACAATTGTGCAACTCCATAGATGTCTTTGGATAATTCAGCGAGTATCAGAGAAGAAAATTCTTGCATGAACAAGTCCTTTTCATTGATTAATACTTTTGCGAAGTGAGGTATATAATAATCGGATTCCAATAAAAAATTTCTGACGCATGGTATTGCTGTCATTTCAGCTAATAATTTTGCAGCGAATCTGTGTATTGTTATTATAAATATATGAATATTATTATACTTCGAAATACACTGATTTTTTTCTATATAGTCTACGAAATGAGATAGACCTTCGTGTGAATAAATCTTGATGATTAATCAAAGGTATTATACTTTTGACGATATTAAGATCAAAAAGTATATGTATATTTTCTTGAGATTTTGTAGTATATTTGGAAAGTGCAGCCGCTGCATTTAAAAGAATCGTATTTTCCTGACATTGCAAAAGTAATATGGCTGTACCAGGATATTTCACTTCGAGATGTATAGGATCAAATCTATGTTTCGATTTCTCACCACGATCTTTTCTCTTTCGGCCTGTAGATAAAGGTTCCTAAATAGCGAAACCAAATTTAAATAATTAACATAAATACGATATTTATGCTAATATATTTGTATTGCATATGTATACTCTTAGTTATAGCTCACTTCTGTATCTGTAGAATCCATTTTAACAAATCAAATCAAATTTTATACATATAAAATGGAATTCAATTTTTAATTTTCGTATTCATTATGTTAGAAAGTTAATGTAAACATTAAAAAGAAAATAGAAAGTTTTCTAATCGTCATATGTTCTAAAAAAAATAAAAGTTCATTAGATATTCATTGATTGAGATAAATTTAATGCATTGAAATATTTGAAAAAATGACTGCTTTTATAATTTGGCGCATGTGCAGCAATCGTAAAAGTGACGGTAGATTTTAATGAGTTTCTATGTTCATCTTTCGGTACAGTAAAAACTTATTAGTTTTTATAAATTTAATTTATTATTCAATGTGTTTGACATTCTTTTACTGTATTACTTATTTTACATTACATATTTATTCTATTTTATATTTGCTATCTCTTTGTATATAAATTACGAAACAATATCTAGTATACAAAATTAAAATAAATTGAAAAACATGTTCATAAATATATGTCTTATTAATACTTTTGTTCATAGGCAACAAGAAAAATCTTCCAACGCAAAATATACTTATCAATATTACAATGCGTAATGTCAATAGTAATGAGATCGCTAATGGTAAAATAATGATTATGTTGATCATGAAGTTATTTGTTGAATTAAAAAATATAAATAATATTTATGAAAATTATTTGAATAGACTAACATCTAGGAATCTATTTTTTTTATGTGTAATGCATTACACTTTTACATCGAAGGCAGCATATATTTAAAAAATATTTGTTAAACGTATAAGATTAACTATGATATAAATAATGCATTTGTGATAGGTACCTTGAGTCAAAATGTGTACGTAGTAAATGTACTACTTGTTCTTTAAATAATTAATATAATTAACTTATTTTAAATAATATAATCATTTCAAATATATCTCTAAAAATACTATACAAAATCATTGTACATATATTTTCGTATGTATCTTTTTTTTATACTCTTATATTTCTATTAAATGAAAAAATATATAATTTAAACATAGCACATGTAATAAAAGATGAATAAAAGTCATCGTGTTTGCAATATTGCAGTATATATAAATATATTTGACGCTTAATCTATTGTATATATAAAAATTATTTTATATATATTATATATTATACAAATAAAAATCTCATTTGAGTGGTAAAAGTAAACTCTATTAAAAAAAATCTTTATATATCGTAAGGCACCGGATCTTATTAGTATCGAATAAAATTCTTTCTAATGAACTTTGATTGATATATATTAGAAAAAAAGAGAGAGAGAAAAAAATTATTTTTTTATCAAAAGAGAGTTTGTACAATCTTCTACTTGCGTTCTTAATGAGGTATATTCAACTCTACGCGGAGTTTTATATATAAATTTAAAATATTTAAATGATAAATTTTATTATGTGCTATAACGAATAAAATTTTTTCATAAAATCAATAATCTTTTTTACAAGATAGAAATATTTCAATAATTATTATTGGACATATATTATTACGTCCATATAATTAGGCTGAAGTACCTTTTGATATATACATTGTGTACCAGAATATACATACATTTTTCTACACGTATTTCTAGAATATAGTGGACGGATAAATTGCAGTCAAGATAATGATATTTTTCTGCAAAGTGTATATAAAATACTATATCTTACTAAATAATGGTAAAAGTTAATGGTAAAATTAATCTTTTGATTCTCTAAGGAATGTCTTGTATTCGATAACATTTTTAATCATTCTTATCAAGTACCATAAATTGATGTTAGAACCTTTATAAAAAGTATTCTTTTTTAGCTATTATTACATCAGTTCTTAACAGCTGCATCTTGAGAAGGTTCTTATGGCACATCATGCGTGTTCATATTTTCCGATAATATTTCTTTAATTTTCTCTTAAATAGTCTTTAGATCTTTAATTTTTTAAATATCCTGAATTTTGAATTCAAAGATTATTTTTATATATATTATAATATGTTTAAAACCGGCATTGTCGAAACTATTCTGGTTAAACGGCTGTTTGTGGTACACCTTGTACCAAATGCGTTTTACTTTTACTTTTAGGCAGTGTAGATTGACTCGCAGCTTTATTGAGTTTAGGCTTACCATTTGGTGAGCTCGTAACAAATCCTTCCGATCGCATATCTTTTAAAGATACATTTGAATTACTTCTTAACGATGGCGTAGAACTGAATTTTCTATTGTGCGCTAAACGTTCTTGCAATCTAGCTTCATTTTGTCGTGGTACTCTTGTTTTCGGCGGTAGATCTCTATACTCATAAATATTTTCTTTGGAAGCACGATTCAAATTCTCAATTCCTTCCGATGAATGTTCATCCTCTCGTATCATCAAGATGTCTCCGCTATAGTAGTGATCAGATTGTCTGTAAGAAAAGGTTGAAAATCTAATTTATGTATATCACTTTTAATATATACTACAAAACTTAATTTTACTAATTCCAAAAAGATCATATATTTATTTTACAACAGTGATATAAATACTAATACTGTATAAACCAATGCATAAGCAAATCAAATTTACAATGTCATGCACAATTTTAGATTTTTTAAATTACCTGCACACATCCTGGCAGCTAATGTTTTGCTGCATTAACATATTGTAAATAAGGATAGTGTTAATAATGTGAATTATATATACAATTAATAGTGAAATATAATTCCAAATATGTACATAAGAGTTTGATAAAACTGTGCACAATACTATTATATTTAATGATATATATTGTTAATATAATAAATAAATACCAGAACCATTTTTTCCCCATGCACTACAAATCTATGGAGTTTACGTCACCCAGTCAAATGTAGTCACATGGATTAGGTTCTGTTTACCTTTTCTTACCTTTTGGCATTACGCCAAAGCATACAGCAAACTACTGACACTACTATCAGTAATAAACAGGCAGTTGACATCGACCAAAATGCAATTTGCAAAGGTTGCTTAGGCTCCCACCAGTACTAAAATAGAAAATAATTCATAATATAAATATATATATACAATTTTATAGATATTTTTATATATTATTAAATTATAAATACCTCAGTAACAGGTGGATACGTTGGAACAAGTCTACCGATAACCGTTGGTAAATACATTGACCAAAATGCACTTTCGGTTTGACGATAATTTATCAAAATTGAACTGTTGAATGTTGTGTTAATATTTAGATATTTTAGTTGGCCATATTTAGCAACGTCGAAATGTAATCCCAAAATCTGTGAAGGAGTTGGACGCCTGAAACAGTATATAGGAAAATTAACTTTGAAACATGCATGTACATTGTTTTGTGAAAAGTAATGATACGTACCCATATCGTGCAAAATTAGAATATGCCTTCAAAAAGAAACGACTCATATTACGATCACTATCAGTCCACATATCCCTTTTTAGTCTCCACTTCTCAGGGAAAAATTCTACATTTGAAAAATTTGAATTAGTATGTTATTATAAAAATAATTTGAAGAATATATATTCATACACGTACCAACATCCATAAAAGGTGCACCAGTTAGCCAAAGTAATTCCGTATCATGAGGTACTCGTCTCCAGTGTGGCAGTTTAAAGGCTTCTGTAGTCGTATTTAAAACGTACAAATAAGTAGGCACGTGTTTCTCTACTAATAATTTAGCTATTTTATCAAAAGGTGCAACGTAATGAAAATCAGATAAAAGCTGAAATATAATTCAATTAAAATGACTTATTAGTGACACACATACACGTACCAAAGTAAATCTAATAATTATTATTAGATACATACATTTATATATTGATCACGAATGTGTGTGACATTCAATGGATCTGGCCAATACGTGTACATGTATTTTATAGCTTCATAAACACCTTGTGGATTAAGAGTGTAGTTATAACGCAGAACTAATTCCCAAACTTTTTGATCGAACAATTCTTTATCTATTATATAATTGTTTCTGGCTAAAGTTTCATTGTTATCTAAAATTTAATATATATATAATAATATTATGAATATAACGTAAAAAAGACAGATCATTGATAATCAAAATAAAAATGTAGATTACACAAAATATAAGCTGCTTCTTGAGTAGTAACACCTGCCATATATGCAAAATCTTCTTTATATTTTCCAGCTGTGATACTTTCTTCAGGAGTTTCTGCAAAGAAACGCCAATCGGAAGCTTTCCAATCTATATATAAATTATCACGTGGTACTGTAAAATTAATATCTAATACAGGAGCCCACGGAAACATTCCTACATGTGGCTTTAATTCCGAGTTTCCTAATTCAAAAAAATTCCGACCATCTTTCAAACATTGCACTAATTTCCAGCTGCTCTCTATACTACAACCAAGCATTTCTGCATACACTCTTGATGTATTTTGTGCTCTATATTTATCCATTATTACTGCCCAATCGGCTAACGCTGACCCCGATTGTGCAATAACTTTTGAAACCATATGTCGTGTTCTAAATAAAAGCAAAAATTGAAAAACTATTTTATATAACAAGAAAAGTACATAGTTATAAAAATTACCTTGGTGCTACCATCAATAAACCTGCACTAGCTGCACCAGCGCCAGGTCCAAACAACGTTATAGACTTAGGATTACCATTAAAATGACCGATATTATCATAAACCCATCGTAATGCCATTGCCTGATCTAGTATACCATAATTTCCTGGACTATTTTCATCTCCAGTACTTAAAAATCCTACAGCAATAAAAAAAAAACAATATATGAATAAGCAGACGAATAATATGAGGTATTTATTATAAACTTACCAAGTGCTCCCAACCTGTAATTTATTGATACGACTACAACGTCATAGAAAGCTGCCAATATATGTGCTGGAAATAAATTACTTGCACCATGGGTGAATTCACCTCCATGTATATAAAGCATTACTGGATAGGGCTGCGCAAGTCCTGAACCAATCTGTAACCAGGAAAGTTCATCAATTAATTCATACTCTCTTCATATATCAATTAAAATCATATTATAAACTTACATCAGGTGAAAATATATTTAAGTATAAACAGTCTTCGTCAACATCACGTACTCCTTTCGTAACTCCAGTATACGAACTAGGTTGAGGACATGCTGGACCCCAGTCGACAGCTTGTAAAAGTTGCCATCCCCTAAAACAAAATAAAAATTGAAATATCTATCTCTATTAATATAATAATTAATATCATCTATACAAACTTATGAGGCTTCGGCGGTTTAAAGCGACCTTCCTTTATCGGTGGCATAGCATAAGGTATTCCGAGAAACACGTTAACATTTTTCGTAACTCTTTCAACTTGAACATTATAAGGCCTGTGTTGAGCATCTGGATCGTCATACAAATAAACTTTAAACCCCTGAACTTGTCCATAATTAGTAGTAACAAAAATATCGGTTTCTAAATTCTTCGAGTCTCGTCTTTCCTTTCCTTGAAGATCGCTTCGCCATCCACCGAGTATTCCTGGCAATGGTGTTCTAGGTGTCATGTCCTAAAATCATTAAATCTATTTTACTTAAAGTGATATCACTGTCCTATTTGCATTAAAGTGACTTTTAGCAATAGGACTTTGTTATAGTCTGCTGGTACCAATTTTAAGCTGTCATATTCATTTTGACATATTGATATACTGTAAATATAAGAAAAAACGTCAAATAAATTTAATATAAAATATAAAAGGGAAAAGAAATAAAAAATAAAAATGGTCTTTCGAAGGATTATAATAATTTACCCACCCCATAAAGGTAACGATCCTCAGGAGACCTGGTTGGACCTCTGTAAATAGGATCCAGGTAGCTGGGTTGATACCCATATCTCCTATCTTTGTAGATATAGGTCTGGTACCCTGCTGGATTCGGTGGCACATAGACGCCATCGCGATTATAATATCTACTACCTTGGGATATTCTTTCTTCGCTGAGAACGTTTTGATGACACGTTTCAATGTAGAAACAAATGTAAATGATTAATAAAATGTTGTGTCTGTTTGAAGCGTGCTGATTAAACGACGCGGCCATCTTTTTCTCCTCCACGTTTCTATACAAACGAAAAAGCGTCTATTTTCTCTCGATTCTTACAGGTGTGGTCGTTGTATGACGACTCGTGGGTGCGCGCGTGCGCGCACCATCCACTCAATGACCGCGTAGTAAGTTGTATATGCTTGCATACATAACTCACTTACTCACACCTTCTCAAAATGCTCATATCATGTCATATTCCACAAGTGTGTTTTGTAAATAAAAAGAAAGGACTCACGTGCGAGCGCATGCGCACATCTTTTACGAAGGACTCTCGTTCTCGTCGAACAAAAGAAAGGGAAAGGACAAGGTATGGAAGTATATAAGGGAATCCCAACCGCTAAACAGGACGTCACGTAAATATATTTTCTTTTGTTTTTATTTATATCCAAATATTTTTATGGCATACTTCAATTGGTAATAATACGAATAGTCAGTCGTTAGTCGAGATACAATAGAAGAAGATTTATAACCAAGGATTATATATCAATGTTTTTTTAATAAAAAATTAAATTTCTGAAAGAGAAATCTTTATAACTTTTAAATATATATACCACAAATGCCTATATATTTAAATGCCACTTTTAAATCAAAACTTTAACTTTTATTCAATTATTAATTCTTTATATATATATATATGTGTGTATTTATTTTTATACTTACTTAAATATGTATATATTTGTTTAAAATTTAAAAAATTCACTTGTTAGGAGGAAAAAATGAAATCTTTCTCGTTGAACGTTTGTTGAGAAATGACGCGTTCGACGATCAAAGCGTCACTGACTTCTCGAGAATGAATTAGTCACCCACGCATTCGTTTATCAGAAAGATTTTTCAACACAAATACACATTCATAATAGTTTCACGATCGCGAATATACTCTTGCACAAATAATTCGGTTTGTGGATAGGTAAATCATAGCTTGGAACGTCCATCGGAAGTATTAATTATGCACGAACAATCATTTAATGGAATGCACTACCTTTTTTTATGACACACGATGCCTCATAGAGTTTTCATGCCATTGATTAGATACCGATAATAGTAATCGATTGATAATAATCGTAAGATATACAATACGAAGTATGTATGTGCGCGCACATACAAATACACTTATACGTTTCCTGTTAGATTTGACCATTTTTAAACAATTTTTTCATCGTGTTATACACATGTAATCCCATAATGTTTAATAAGGTTTATAAAAGTATCGTGTTATATAGGGTTCTACATATTATATTTTTGTTTTAATTTTTTAAAAATGCATTGGTAAAGGCTCGTTCAATTTAATGGCAAGTTAAAAGAAGCGAACACTTTTTAACTTCGTCATAACGTCGGAGAGAGAAAGGGTTGAGTGAGTAATTAACAGTACAGTCTTCTTAAATGTGAAACATCTAATCGAGTATCATGTGATATTGATTCGTTTTCTTAAGAGATTGTTGACCAGCTCTTATACATAATGAGATATATTCATAATTAAATTAAAATCCTAATGAAAATGTCTAAAGTGAGTTATTTAAATTGAAACGAATATCTTCGTAATTCATGGTTTTATGATCATATTTTTAAAATAAAATGACACCACCTGAAGAGTCGCAATTTACTTTAATTATATTATCTCACACGTAATATCACACACACCATTTATATATAATTTAATTTAATTTAATATAATAGAAGTTTGCCTTTCAAAGTAAATTATTTATTAATCAACTGTCATAGAATAGTTCAATCGTTAAGTAACATGTAATAATTAATCAAATTTATTTGAAATATACCAAATTAGTAGATAATTAAGTTCTCCCTGTTAGTAAAATTTTAACCAAATTCTAAAAGTACCAAATATAATTACATGTAACTTGTATCATATAAAAGAAATGCTTTTTATATCTATACTCTTTAACAGAGTGGTAAGTTCTTCAATTTACAGTAATTGGAAAATTTATTGCCATCGCAGTCCCGGCTCGGATGTATATGTTCTGTACAGTCGAAAGCAAAAATGACTGAATAGCATTAATTATACGAGTACACGCGCACTATCATACTTTCTTCCAACTATAAAAATCGTCACGCTCGAAACAACGGGGTCGTTTTGATCTTGTATAGTTTATTTTTATCTAAAATCAAACTCTTACAATCCGAGGAATACCGAAAATCATGCGCTGTTTTTCTAATGATATTTAAATATTAACTTTCAAAATTTATATCTTTGAAATTTATACAATTTAAAAATTAAATTCATGTTTAATATTTTGACAAGCAAACTTGTAATTTAATATCGAACAATAGTTTCTGAAGAATTGAAATGTTCCATTCTCTTTCCAACATGCAAATCATTGGCCATTCTTATTCTTTACTCATTCATTTTGTATACACGATACGACAAGATGATTTCTGGGAAGAAGATCTATGTCACGAATTTAAAATTGCACACACGTGACCGCAGAGGTTCATTCTCATTCGGTACAAAGTTGATCCAAATGGGTACCATTATATTCCTTGTTCCTGTCTCATCGCCCGTACATCCTTCTTTTTTGTAAGAACTTGGACATTAAAATGCTCTTTGAACTCGTGGGAATAGGATGTACTCAGTCCAGTAAAAGATGTTCATTTAAATAATATTTCATTAATTTAACATATTTTTTTAAAATCATTTCTTTAATAAATTAAAGTAGAGTATGATTTTGATATCACAGCAAAATCTTATACAAACTTCTGACATAAAGATTATTTAATGATTGCTAAATATAATGTAACATTGTCAATGAATTTTGTTGAGAAAATAAATATGTGATTTTTGTTTTTAAAAATTAAACATTGTTATGTTATTTTTAACAAATTGTACGAACAATTGTAAAAATAATAAAAACATATAATTACCGTTCATTTTGTAAACGTTGGAGGAAAAAAAGAAAATAAGAGAAGCAAAAGAAAAGATACCCATTATGAAAATGTTCGAATTTCTTTAGAAAAATATAGCCGAATGCAAGCCGCAGCTAGCAGATGCACCGGTGATCATGCGAGTATATCGCAGAAGGGTGGGGGCGGTGCAGTGGGGGTGCTCACGTACTCCAGCGCCCACTTGTTCTTCAGAGCGGGATCGGCTTGTCACTCGAGAACATGTTCCCGTTGTGGTAACATCGGCCACCTTTATCCCTATTCCTCTAAAAAGATTCCATCTTGACTGAAAAGAGAATATACGCGTGTAAAAACGTTTTCGCATAAGTACACAAAGATATAGTGATAATCGCGTTACGAATAATGCAAATTTATATGCAAATAATATGAACAAAATACGATAATAGTAGAATCAATTTTTAGTGAACAATTTAGAGACTGGTCTGTCATCGAGAAAGATAAATTAAAGAATTAAATAAACACTGTGTCAATTCTTGATGAATTTATCATGAGAACGTTTTGAAAAAGGCGCAGACAAAAATCGAAGAAGAAAAGCTAAATATTATTTAATTGAACAATCGTTTGGAATAGAAGAAAAAAGAAAAATGACGACGGAATCGTTGCCTCGTGAAGTGGACGCTCACATCGTCAATATTCTAACGAGACTTTCGAATATTAGAGATAATAATGTCGATGCATACAAAAGGATACCAATGTCGACCGAGGCGCGAAGTTTGGAACTTTGGAAGGCAGTTTTAGTAGAGTGCGTGGCTACTTTTTTATTTGTATTTGCTGTATCCGGTGCAGCTTCTTCTACTGCGGTATCAGGAAGCGGCCTGTCCATCCTTGCGACTGCAATTGCTTCCGGTTTCGTTGTTTCGGCGATCTATTTCATCTTCGGCCATGTTAGCGGTAAGATTTCTTTAAGTATTTCTTTTTTTAATCAAAAAAAAAAGGAGTAAATTAGTGGAAGGATTACAAGTTATATATTTGTCTTTGTTTGTTTGAAGCAAAAAACACAACTAGTTTCGCGAATAGATTCTTCACCTCTCATTTTAGAGGCACTTGTGGTCGGCCCTCGCAGTTCCTCCTCTCTCGATTGGCTCGTTAACAGATTATATTGCAAACCTAGTATATATATATACCTAAACGTATACGCATGCGTTATGTATATATATATACATAGATACATATGTAGATACTTACGCGTAACTCGTTCATTCGAAGGCATGTGGGCACATTCAATTTACGTTTCTTTACTCACACGTAAGCGATAAACGAGCACGAGTTCTTCAATGGTTTATTTGTGTTTGTGTGTCATTGGAAATACCGAGAGACGACGGGTCAGTGTCTATCCTTGCTCGAAAGAAATTAATTAACGAACGATTTCATCGTTTATGTTACTGTTCCAACTCCTTATTTCATTCTAATTTAACATTTGATTTCTTTAACAACACATTTCTATCTGCTTTCTATACTTTTTGTTAGTGTGCGTTTCAATTTATATTTATCTGTACGATAAAAAATTATCTTATATTTAAATATTATATGCAACTATATGCATAATTCTATTCTAAAAAAAACTGGAGTAACGCGAAGGAAAATTTAAAACCCGGCTCGGTTAAAGGTGTCCCTTGTTTATAAATATAAACTAAAGCAATGTGAGAAGACGAGCTGAAAGATGTGATAAACAAGAACGTGAGAATGTTTAAATTATTTTTTAAAGCTAGAGTCAAAATTCGTTTGTACCATACTGAACGATAAATTAACCAGTGATCGGAACAAAAACTTGATTATTTATGAACGTGTTCTTTGATCTCGATCTATGTTTATATTAAAGATTTGTTTATTTTAAACAGTGGAATAACGAACGAAGCATAAAGCCGATTTAAAGACTCGAAGCTTCGAGGGGCATCAGTTTTATATTCTCGAATCGAAGGCTCTGAATCGAAGCATGTTTTATAGGTAGAAACTATCTTTCTCTCTCGCTCTTTATTGATAGATGTCTACCGACAGTGTCGATCTTGAATACGAAAGAAAAAGAAAGAGATCCTTGCTTTGGAAAGGGTCGACGCAAGTTAAACTAAACTGAACAGGATGCCAACAGATGGTTGCAACCACGTGTTCGTTCTCTCAAGAACCATCCTCCCGTTCTTTGACCCATAGGGTTGTTCTATTAAATACACGCGCGTACATTAAGTTCTTTCTACACTCTTGCTTAACCCTTTTTGAATTTATAATAAATATATTTTACGTTTTTTTTTTGGGAAGACCCTTCGATCCTTCGTGGTACCAAATTTGACGATACATGACGTATTGGATTTAATCTAAATGTTTCTTTTCATATCGGTATTTTTTTATTTACAGGATCACACATAAATCCAGCTGTATCGTTATCCTTTTTCTTTCTTCGACGTATCTCGCCGTTACGTGCAGCACTTTACATAGCAGCTCAATGTGGCGGAGGTATAGCAGGAGCTGCGACGCTCTACACGTAAGTTATAATATATTTCTTTATATTTCAAAAATAATATTAAACAATATATCATTTCGAACGATAATACGAGTTTTATTTGACGTTCGATACAGCCAATTATTTTTCCTATCCGAATAATTCATAGAAAATGAAAATGAAAAGGAAAATGTGTTTAATTTAAAGTTAGGAAAAATTCTCGACAATTTTGATCGTTCACGGAATGATGAGAGAACTTCCGTGAAGAATGAGATGCACTGCGACAAGGGGGCAGCTGCTAGATATGGAATCTGAGAAGCACACGGAGGCATGTGGTTGAACCCCCCGAAACTCCTCTGCTTGCCTTTTCTTCGAGAAAGACAGGGCCCCTGCCGCCGACTGGCGTCTTTTGCACGAGCAGGTTTCACGCGCGAATCTCTCCCTCTCTTTCTCTTCTTTGTGTCGAATCTTACGAGCAAAACGAAACGCGACTTCGTTGCTAATACCTTCATCCTATTTTTATTCTTTTCATTCTTTCCTTTTCTCTCTTTCCCCAAGTTTTCTTTTTTATCATTTATTGGACTGTAACTTATATTTGTCCTGTTTTCTACGTTTGATAGACAAACTTTATGATATTGTGTATTATTAATTGGCTCGTTAAATGATTTCAAAGATCCTTTTAAAAGTTACTCGTAAATGAAGAAATTGATCTTCGATAAATTAAAAAATTTCTACGTAAGATGCAGTCCATACGGTATATGCGGAAAATAATGCAGTAATTTAAACTGGGATTTCTTTTCAAATAGATATATGAAAAATACGTAAAAAAAAAAAAAAAGAAAAGAAATGTCCAAAGTTTCAATCGAAAAATTATGACAAATTCCAAGATCAAAGAAAGAAAAATCCGAACGTGTGTCGTGGATTTTAGAACGATGAAATTGTAAGGGCACGTGTGCACGATAGAAAGAAAGAAAAAGAAAAAGAAAGAGAGAGAGAGAATAAAAAAGGAGAACAAGGAAGAGAGAAAAGATTGCTTGATCCATGATGCATATAAATACAAACTTACAAGAACACACACGCGTGTAAAACTCGAATAAGAAGGCGGAGGAATCCGTCGATTTCTTCCTGCAGACGGGAGAACGCGTCGTGTTCTCTTTCAACGTTGCTAAAGATATCGAATATGGCCCATAGCTTTAAGCGTGCGCACACCATGGTGCACGTGCCTCGATTTTGCCTGGAGACTTAACAGGGAAAAAAAAAGATATAAAGAAAGAAAGACAGAGAGAGAGAGAAAGAAAGAAAAGAATGCATCACTGGACCCAAAATGAAGGAAGAGAAGGAACGAATTGAGTTGAACGTGCAGCCCTTTTTCGAGGACGAGGAGGAACAGGAAGAACAGATAGAAAGGCAGACAGACGGAGAGAGAAAGGAAGAAAGAAGGAGATTGAAGAGAAAGGAGCAGCAACAGCAACAGCAGCAGCAGCAGTACGTAGGAGTGAAAAAGGATGGATATATAAGAGAAGCTGAAAAAGGCACGCGTAATTGGCAGGCGAGGGAGAAGCTCTCGAAGGTGAGCACCTGCCCCGACTCGAAGGAGAGTCCTGTGCCGGGCCACCGCCTCGCAGCTGCCGCAGATGTTTCGTGGACCAAAAAAGATCACGTCGAAGTAGAAGGAAAAGAAGGAGAAAGAGAAGAAGAAGAAGWAGGAGGAGGAGGAGGAGAAAGAGGAGGAGGAGGAGGAGGAGATGGACAAGCTGGAATATACGAAGGAAAGGAGGGGGCAGGATCAAGTGAAGAGAGTATGCGTGTATATGCGTGGCTGTATAGTAAAGGCGAGGATAATGAATGCTTATGCTTGCCGAAGCTGGGACAAGCTTCAGGATGCGATCGAAAGATCGGCTCGTTCGAAGGAGGACATGCCGTGATCCAAGAGCAGATGTTCCATAACCATACTCTAAGATCATTGTCCGCATCGATACCGACTATCTTTTTTCTTTTTCTTTTAACTTCTTCTCTCTTTCCTTTCTTTTTTAATTATATTTATTTTATACTCTTAGATTCGTTCCAACTGCATTTAATTTACAGTAAATCTTTTTACGTTCAGACGGTCGTCATTATAATATAATATGGCATTGTTGTTTTAATGCTTCAAATGGATTGGAATTCGCGTTATATGAGAATGTTTAATGTAATTTAGAATTGAAAATATCGTATTCCATTGGTATTATAATTGTACCTGTTTCGCATCAGCTTGATTGCACGTATCATCGACGATCACACTTGGGGAAAGGACCCCACTCGTACATTCGTCGAGTACCCGACTTAAATTTCATCGATATCTCTAATAGTAAGGTGGAAGTACCCCTCTACTACTACTACTACTATTATAGATTCTACCCCATTGCTATTATCCCTCCATTAAATTCTAAACCACATTCTATTTGAAAAAAAAGAAACATTGAAAAAAAGATACGCTATTTACTTGTCAAGATCAGTTCTATAAAAATGATTGCAAACGATATAAGAAAATTGTTCTCGATCAAGACGCAATAAAAAAAAATAATGCATTTGTACTTTTACAATGATCTACAGTGATCCAATTTCGTACGAATATCAAGTCAAAGAAGATACGAGTATGATCGTTGATTAAAAAGAATCCTGATAATTTCAATCGTAGTATGTATATCTCAATGGCATTCTCGAAATACGTATGACTACAACGTTGGAAAGTGAAGGAGCCCGGTCAGTCATCCTTAGCATCACCATATGACCGCACAAAGAGGTAACAAGTGCGCGATATGTACCGAAATAATAATCTAACAATACTCTAGTTAACCGAACCAGCCACAAAACTCGTCCTCCCTTCGTCCAAGGGAAGATGTCTCAGGGGATGTTTCACCCTTATGTAAAAAAAACTATCCTACCTACTGTGAGAAACAGAAAGAGAGAGAGAGAGAGAGAGTTGGATGAAGCCAGGAAGAAATGGATAACGTGTGAGAGTCAGAAAGACAGAGAGAGAGAAAATAAGTTGCATCTGTTACAACTCTGTCAGCCAACAGAGGCTTGGGTCTGTGTAAAACACAGTTCGTATCGTTTCTCGATAAGGGGTAGGGATAAGTATACGCAACCCCTATTGTGAAACTCCCGTTTCAATTGTTATCTCTCTTCTTCTCTCTTTTTCTGCGGAATCGTTTTTTGGTCAGTTCCACCTAACGCAAAGGGTATAAATATAAAAAATGGCTAGATAAATCGCAAATCAAACTGATACTCCAGGGAAATAGGATAACGAGAAAGAAAAAGATAGATAGAAAGAGTAGAAAAACTGCATGGGTGGTATACGAAAATATATACGGGTCTCTAAGTGTCCGTGAAAAATTTACTGTCACCTCTTCATTTAATGAACTTACAGGATTTTTCCATTATCCTTTTATCATTATTTCTTTTTTATTCGATATATGTGCATACTCAAAACTCTACCAACGATCTAGTTCGCGTATTATATTTTCTTTTTTCTCTTTTCTATCTTTTTCTTCTTCGTTTCGGAAACGAAACGAAGCTAACACTTTCCCCCAACCCAGAGAGAGATTGGATGCATCCCACCGTTCTTTTTTTTTCTCTTTTTAAACGTTGAAACACGTACGAGATACTTCTCTTGAACGCTGGATGAATTTTACCATCGCGTTTTGCTATTTTAGATTCGGTACGTTTCTAATTCGGTAAATGTGTAGATATTGAATCTTTTATAAATAGTTTCGCGTACGCGCGCGAAGAATTTCAAAGTATGTCTTCTTTTCCTATTAATTTGAGAAATGATAATAATTTGAAGAAAAAAACAAAGACATAGTAGCATTCGTAACAATTGGTAAAAGGTAGGAAAGAAATCCATTTGCCGAAGAGGGTTTGCCACCACGAACACACGAAGGAAACAGCTGTGAGGAAGCAGGTGTGTCATGACGTCAATTTTAAGACACACGCAGTGCGCGTGGCTAACCGGATGTCCTCGGATGTGAAATATTTTTGACACGGGTCTTTACGTTTTAGAAAAGTCAAAAACCTCGAGATATACATAATAAAAAAAATAATCCTGACACAAACTACTCATTTTACTTGATTTTTTTTACATCTCTTTTATAATCTGCTTACTATTCGTATTATTTATTTCACAAGACACGAAATGAATTCTTGTCGTTTCAATAACGACACAAATATTGAATATAGCAAAGGAATAAAAATTTGGTAGTATCACCAAAAGAATTCTACATACTATCAATTTTTATCTTCAAGAGTTACGATTCCATTTCTATGGGAATGACCAAAGTATCAGACTATCTTATATAACTTTCTTCTTAGAGTGCTTTAATACTACCACGTGTAAAAGAAGAAGAAGAAAAAAGATAGCATTCGAAAGGGAACGAGATTTGAGGGAAGGAAATGGAAGCAATATCTACCTTATCTTGAAAGCTCACCGATATTGACTTCTTAATCCATGTTTTTCCTCGAACGAATGGTACGCCCAATTTCTTTCGAAATTTCTATCGAGCAAACATACATTCTATATCTACGAATACTCTTCATATAAATGTTTAAATATATATATATAGGATGATAAAAAATAATTCGAATATGTTATCGAAAGACTTGCTTACGGTATCGAACGCTCATAAATAATAAAAAAGAATTAACAGCAATACACTTGATTTTTTTAGGATCCATGTTAAACAATTTTTCTCACCACCCTGTATATATTATTTTATAAAAATATTTAGCTAATAGAACGCTAAAAATCGTGTACGTTTTTACTCTCTTTCTCTCTCGTGAAATCTGAATTCTCTTGGAAACGATCATCCGAAAAATGTCTGACATAAAAGCCAGGTGGGTCAGGTAGAATCGTTTCAGTAAAAATGCTTTACCTGCCTTGGAACACCTTTTACGGGATGTTCACAAAGCACCGTACTCATGGCACACGCGATTCCGTCTTTTTACGAGCGGCAAAGGCTCCGCAACGATATTCCGGTAACAGTATTTCAACGACTACAATATTA